CAACATAGCCTTATCTATTCAATCCCAAAGACTTCAAACTGGCAGTATAATCTCAACTCGACCAGACCTATAGCACTACTGGAGACAATTAAGAAAGTATTCACAAAGATCATCAACAAAAAACTAGCACAAGTCTTAACAATACATTAGATTTTATCCCTTCTCAACTGGGCAGGACTTTTAGGAGGGGACACATACGAATCGATAATAATCATCAACCATATCATAGAAGAAGCAAAAGAGGCAGGAAAAGAACTTTGGATACTAAGCCAAGACATTAGCAAGGCTTATGACTCAATAAAGCATATAACACTCAACAGTGCAATGAACCGTATTAAGATCTCATATTTTATTCAAGAAATAATCATGAACTGCATCACAAGTCAAACCACCCAGGTAATTACACAACATGGACTCACTGAACCTTTTCAGATTATACAGGGAATAGATCAAGGCAACACAATATCCCCTCTTTTCTGGCGCATTTACTATGACCTACTTATTACAAAAATAGAAAAATCAAAATTAGAGTACAAAATGGATTCAAAAACATCCACCACATGCTTTGGACAATGGAATAGACACACATTATACATATCATCAGTTTCATATATGGATAACACAACATGGTTTACCAATTCAAAGAAAAATATGTAGAAGATTGCAGATCTGATAAACAGCTACGCAAACATTGTAGGCTTAAGGATCAACTCCAATAAATCAACACTGCTGACTATTAACAATACTCAACAACTCACCATCCAATTTCAAGCAAAGTCAATCACTGCACAGAGCAAAAAAACAGCAATTAAAATCCTGAGCACATGGATAACAAGCTCAGGATCCAAAAGACATCAAAAACAACTAATAAAGAACAAAACAACTTTTATGATGAGACGACTACAATCAAAAAAAATCATAGACAAACAATACAGATATATCATCAACCAAGTGCTTACTCCAGCACTAGAATATCTAATTCAGGATATAATCCTTTTCCAACAAGAATGCAACACAATCAACAGCAAGATCATAGTGCTCTTTGAGCATAAATTAGCTTTCCCAATAATGACAATCAATAGTGGAATTTACCTTTACACAGAATACAAAATCTTCAACATATATAACAAACAAGTTAAATTAATAACTACAAGATAGCTCCAAAATCTCAATGAGATGAATATCATGAGACAAATTACAAGAACAAGGTTACAGCTAAGAATAGGTCCCTAAACTATTTAGTATATAAAATTTCGCAAATCAATTATGTCCCTTTTGAAAGGATATAATTATTTATTCATTACTTTAATAGGGACATAATTCAAAAAACACTTGAATCAAGTGTCCTAAATTGCAAAAAACCTTTGTATATAGTTTTTTTTTAACCTTATATTTAAAAAAAAACTTTTTTAATAGTGAGGGACATTTGAATTATGTCCTTGTCTTTAATTTAGGGACTCATCTTTAGTTACAGCATCTACAGAACTGGGCATGGACCACCAAAGACATTTTGCAGGCTGAATATAATACCACAACAGCTTCACGCAGAAACCTGACAACACAGATCCTGAATATATTGAAACTAAACAACCTCCAGATAAGGTCGACAGCAACACATAAATTGATATCACCATTACCTCAGAACAACTGGACACTGATCGAAGAACATATGATATACGAATGGTATGACAAGAACAAAACCAACTTAAGAAAACACAAATGATGAATACTACCAATTCATATTGCATCACATGGATACACTTTAAAACCAGGACAGGAACAAAGTATATAGGACAAAAACCCAACTGGTTCAAGAAGATTATATAACAACAAGAATACAAAAACATCTCTTCTCCCAGAACAACAATAAATACATTTGCCACCTGTGATCTGGCAAATCAAGAGAACATTTGCAAATACAGATATGTGTCTGCAATTATTAACCAAAGTATATATATAGAAAAGGTAAACAAACAGGTCAAAGTCCTGGAAAACTCATTTAAAGCACAACACTTCACAAGAATAGAAGATGACTCACCAATTGAAAAATGTAAAGGATACAATATGAATATAGGAAGAAAAACAAACATATGCACCTGAAGAATACAATTAAAAGAGGCAATTACACTTCTAGACAAAACAACAAAAACGAGCTCAAAACTCTTTAATCAGATAATAGGAAATCTGTCACGAATACAGATCTCACCAAACTTAATCAGAGAGATGCACAAGTGGAGCAATTCAATACCAGAAGAGGAGAATAAGATTTACATAGAAATCAATAACAGCAGTAACAAATCAATAACAAACACACTGAATCTAAAGACATTAAAACTGCAGAACTCAATTAAACAAAAACTTAAACAAATCCAGAAACATATACAAGATTGGAAACTTATCAAAGTATACATAGATAGATCCATGGAAAAGTACAATAACAATCAGATAAGAATGGAGGTAGGAAGCATAATTATCAACAAAGAAATACTTGAAGAAATAGAATTCAAAGGCAGATGCAAAGGATTTCCATCATTTACAAAAGCAGAGTTAATGGCAATACTCACAGTGATAACACTTCTCAATTCAAAAACAGAAGCAATCATATTTATAGACAGCCAGTGTGCGATTCAGGTAATACAATCAGTAACTACAGTGAAACAAAGGGTAGCAAAAGGAACAAACATACTCACAACAACTCTTATTTATGAAAAGATCAGAGATAGAACAGCAATAACAATACTAAAAAAGATCAAAGCATATACAAGGGAAAAATATAATGATCGCACAGACCAGTTAGCAAAAGAAGACAATGAACTAGACCATACACACATAATAGGCACAAACTGTTAACACATAAAAGAGATAGTAGGAATACTGCAATGGAATGGTAAAGATCTTGATATAGGAACCAATAGATTCATGAAGCAATGACAAAACAGCAAATGGATCAGTACATGGGTGACACAAAGAAGACACAAAGCATGGCTAAATACAGATAATAAGAAAATGATAGACTGGAGAAGAACATGGGCAAGCTTGTTACCATCAAAGATTATAAGCTTTCATACCAATCAACAGGATTACAACAACAGAGGGTTTAGATACAAACTGCTTAATGAAGAGCTCCTTATCAAAGATAAGCTAAACAAGAAAAGGTCAGACTTATACAAGAACAAAATATGCCCTTGGTGCAACAGATGGGAAACTACAGAACATGTATTCAGCAAACACTATAGGGATGAGATCAGAACCTCATATCTGTAGATATTAAAAGAAGAAATAGCAAGCAGGGTAGAAACACAAGAAAAAAGAATGAATTGGAGAAGACAACTTGAATCCATTATCAACAACTCAGAAAAAACCATCAGGTATATAATCAAAGAAATCTACGAAAAGAACCTAACTGAGCTAGTAGGCCAAATCAATAGGAAAAAAATTAAAGATACACTAAGAACAGTTATAAACAGAATGACAGAGGAACTCTAAAAACTCTGGACTCACAGATGCAAAGGTTTTTAGTAATAGGAAAGAAAAGAAAACATAAGCAAAAAAGAAAAAAGAGGAAAAAAATGAAGATGTCAAGTTGTCACTCAAGCTGTAGACACAAGGTGATACAGATCTCCTTTCGAAAGAACAGAAGAAACAAGAAGATTACAAGAAAAACTCTTAAAAACTGGTTAGACCAGAAAAAAAACATAATTAATTTCAATTTTTATTACTTTTTATATAATAACAATACTAACAAAGCCTTGACATATTAGCTTTGACACATGTCAAAAAGTAAGTCAATAGCAACAAGCTAATATGGAGTCAAATCGATATAGCAAAACATGTACCTAGAATAGTTTATAGATAGTAAGTCTTGTAACAAGAAATATATATGTAAACTAAATAAAGTATGTTAGGCAAGGTCATGCTAGTTGAATAATAAAAAAAAAAAAGAATTGTATTGAAATTTTTTAAAGATATTATTATCTAATCATATATGTGGATCTATTTTGTTAAGAAGTAAACTTATTGTTATTACCAGCTCTATTTATAGAATAATTAGAGTCTTTAGTCATCATATATTATTTTATTAAATATTTTAAATATTAGTATATTACTTGTAAAATTCTATATCAATATTAATTACTATTTAATTGGATACTATAAATACAACTTCTTGAAAGTTCAAATAATAATAATTGTATAATAGCTTTTTAAATATATCTAGTATAACTATCAAAAAATAAACAATGCCAAATATAGTAATAATAATCATGATAATTTTTTGAAAAGGATAAACCATTTATTTTTTTTAAAAAAAAATATGAAAAAATAAATTTTTTAAAGTTTACAACTTGAAAAAAGTCATTATTTTTTGATATAGTTCTTGAAAAATAAAAGTCAACTGATTAGAGAAGTGATAAGATAAAAGACAACAGTTTAAGAAAGAAAGAGATCTAAAGAGAAAAAATTTCTGGAAGAAAGAAAAATCTAACTTTAGCAAGTAAAAGGGAAAGAATAAGAGAAATAGAAAAGAAATATTAAAAAAGAGTTTATAAAAAAGAGAAGGAAAGGAAAAAGAAAAAGATAAAAAAAAAAATTTTACAATTTTAATTAAAAATAAATAATATAAATAGGCTATTCCTTCTTTATCAAACAAAATATTTTTTAATAATAATTTAAAAAATTTTAAAATAAAGTTTATTTAGTGTATTGCATATAATTAAAGCAAAAAAAAAATGGTATAATAAAAAAAAATTGAGTAACAAAAATTCATAAAAAAGTTAACTTGTTGAAAATTTTTTATAATGAATAACAATATTGCAATTGATTACTATTATAATAATTTTTAATGGTTTTCATGGTTTCTAAAATTTTTCAGTTTCTTAACAAAATATATACCGAAAACCGTCGATAATTGATTATTATTTTTTTTGATTTGTATGGTGAAATGTAAAATTAAAATAATAACAAAACAACATTTCAAAGAATAATAAATAGAGTAAAAAAATTCATGAAATATCACCGTTTTTTAAATCTCTCATATAGAGGCTAACCGCCATTAGCTCGTCATTTCCGCCTGCTTCTCGCAGATATTTGGCCAACACTTCTCTATCCTCGTACGGCAAAACATCACATAACTTATTTAAAGCAACTTCATCTACAACCAAACCAGACAAACTAGCATCGTTATTTTCTTCAATAGAATTAGAAATGGAAGATGGTGAATTTGATCCAAAACTAAATCTAGAAGAAACGGATTGAAAACTAAATCTTCTTTGACGTGAGCTCTTCGATCTTAGCGAATTCATTGGAGAATTATTAGCAGGATCGTTCATCATAGGTGGGGGCATATTAATAGGGGTTCGATTAGATTTGTTAGAACTTCCGTGTCGGCTCAGGTTGGCAAGAGTTGCAAAGTTTGAAGCTTTGAATTTAGGTGATATCGGTGGAGATGATTGTCGACTTCTTAATGAACTCATATCAAAGGATGTTCGCAATGAAACAGATGACTTGGAAGATTTGGATGAACTTAAGGAAGCCGATGAATCAAGTGTATCACTGTCAGCAGAACTATTAAGCGTTTGCGAGATTGGCAAGACTGGTTGGCTGCTAGCATTAGCGGCTATATTAGGACTAGAATAAATTTTATTTGCTGCTGTACTCGCAAGAGTTGGCAAAGTTCCATTTCCTTTTTTATAATCTTAAATAATGTAGGAAAAATCAATAAATCAAATATGTTCGTAAAAAAAAGCAGTCAAAAAATATCCTATTAAACATCACAATATTTAACATACTTTTTACAGGCAACGGAGGTTCTTTTTCCTTATTCAAATTAAGCCATAAATGTAGTCCAGTATCTTCCTGGCTTAGCAACTCAAATTTGGCAGCTATATTATAATTCAACCAGATGATAAATTACGCATTGGTTATTGTATAAATCACAATTTAAGCGGAACTTCACTCATACCATAAGCATTAGTTCTCTGCACACAGCTCCTTACTTGCCTAATATCTGCAGAAATTAACGCTACAGGTGGTACGCGCCTCTTTCTTAACGTTAAGTTTATTGCGTCTGAATGGGGTAAAGATACTTCAGACGCATTTGAAGTTTGCCATTCAGCGTCGGTAGACGTTATTGAAGGAATGTCAGATGACGTATCAAATGAATGCGACTGAACCTCTAGAACATTGTCTTGTTCGGATGCTTGATCTTGTAATAATTCTTTGAGGTGGTTTATGGGATCAAAAAGGTCTTCTTGTTGACCCTCGTTCGTCATTAATTCAATAGATCCATATTTCAGAAAGTTCTCTTCTGAACTGCTAGATTTTTCTTTAGGTGATTCTAAGACCTCTTTTTCGGCATCGTTATCATTTACTACAATATTTTCGGTATTGCTAAGTTGAATGTCCTCCTCTAATTCTGAAATAGGTTCAGGAATATAACTGAGTTTAAGCGGCGAAGATACTTTTGAAGAATGTGGTGCACGTAACGAGGTGTCTGAGGAAGCTTGAGGTTGATCGTCAATTTGTGAACAAACTTGATTTAGTGGTATTTGCACTATTACAGTATTATCCTGTTCAGAAAAAGCATCTACGTTTTGTAGAAGAGAAGGTACCATAATTAATTTTTAATTGTAATGATTTGCTAACCCGAATCTATATATATTATACGAATTCCTATCTTGGATATATAATGAAAAGATATACCTTCTTTAAAATGTTATTTACACAAAATGCGTAATATATCTTAATACATGAAAGACAGATAATGTTTTCATGATATCAAATAAGAATATCCTATAATTTATTTTATATATAGCAAAAGTAACATTCTAATACGGACAGTATATGCTACAAAAAATTGTATATAAAATAAATTTTTTTTATTTAAAATATTTAATTACGTAATTTAATTTATAGAGTAATAGCTAATAAATAATATCCATATATTTATTACATTATTACTATTTTATAATACAGATTTAACAATATATATATAATTCTTTACAAATATAAATATATTAAATGTATTTACTATGTTTCACTTTTTAAATACATAATTAAACTTGATTTCAAATATATAAAACATTTAAAAAAACTATTTATAATTATAAAAAATATATATTTTAAAAAAATGCTTTATATTGAAATTGTTATTTAGATATTATTTTAAATTTAAAAATTCATTTTATTATTTACTGTATATATGGGTAATTATTTTTGAAGGTGGACTGGAAATTTTCTGGTATAATTCTATAATTTATATTATATATGTATTGTTAAAAGTTAGATCCAAAAAATCATATCTAGTATTTTTGTTGCTTTCAAAAATAATTATCCATATACTGTATATGTATATATTTTTAAAACTAATGTAATTATTAGCCAAACTTTTTTTATTTATAATTAATTACTTATTATAACAATTTTAAAACTTTACTCAACTAATATATATCTTTTTTTTTAAGAAAAATTTAACATAAAATATAAAAATTGATTTATCTATTTTAATTTTTTAACCATTCAAATAACAAAAAATAAAAATATTAAAGCTTTATACTAAATCTTAAATAGTATTTAATAGAAAGCTAAAAATATTTATATAATATCCAATTATATAAAGATATTGCAGCCAAGTATACAGGTTTGCTTTTAAGTTATAATTAAAATTTATATATTTACTTTTTAAATTTAATTTAATATATAATAAAGAAAATTAATAGGAATAGAAAGAAAGATTAAATACCTACATATATAAAAATATTGCAATTATTTATTATATATTTTTTATTTAAATCAATAATAAATATTTATAAAATTTTATATAATAAAATATCTATATATAAGTTAATATTTTATTAATTAATTAATATTCTTAGCAATTGTTAAAAACTTTTTCTGCTAATCCTTTTGCCAACCTAAAAAACAGATGTTTTCAAAAAATTTTTGTCTTTATGATAATAAAGTCTATACACTTTTCTTAAAAACAATACTGGTTTTAACCAGCCAAGCGAGCAGAA